CCGGTTCTAACTCTGTAAACATGCACAGCATCAATCACATAGAAGTAATGCAGTACAACACATAACATACATAGCATACAAATACTCTATCACATAACTCTGGTTACCTACTCAAGGTAAAGTATAGTGAGAAGACTCACCTCGCGTGTCTCGGTAAATCGTAAACCTGAAATCGCTAATCACTCGACCTGTCGAGCTGTCGTCCCCCTCTAGAGTGATGATCTAAGCTCCAAATCCACGAAATAGCAACCTCCTTTGCTTCCTCTTGCCTAGGGTCTCCTTCTTCTTGCTAAATAACACACACAAGATCAAGAATGTCTCCTTTCTCTTCACAAATAGCTCAAGAACACAAGGGTCACTCACTGAGGGTTGGGTGAGCACAAATGACGGCCATAAGGCCCTTTAAATAGGCCTCAAACCCGGAGATTTAGGGTTTCATTACACAGCGCAGACTCGCCGAGTCCATATCCTGGACTCGCCGAGTCCAGGCGCGCACCAATGTTCAATTCCGCGTCTCTACTCGGCGAGTCTGAGCTCCAACTCGCCGAGTCCCTCTCACAATATGACAAAATTAGATTTACAAGATACCTGGTAAAATCCGGATGTTACAGAAGGAGTGCACTCCCTCTAGTCTTATCAGCGCACGCTGTCCGACCATCCGATCTTACCCATTATTATCAACACCTAGCGACGTGATTGATAAAACAATGATTTCATGAAAGTCTTCAGATCGGAAAATCGATCAATTAAACTAGCAACTTACGCGTTCTTCATCGATGTAGGTTAGCATCCGTCGTAGGTCAACGATATTGTAGGTCTGAGGTTTCGTCGGAGATTTATCGGTGACTCATGGTGGAGTTGGAAAGGACTAAATTAAATATAAAAAATAGATAAATTGGTTGGGACCACTGACTGACACAAATAATGGATTCTACTGGGACACAATCATGTTGGTTTGGTTGTACTCCATTGTAGATTCCCAGGCAATAAATTAACTGGTATTGTAATTAAGTTAATAAATAATAATGTTCATCGTACATTAATTTTAAAATCACCTATGAAAAGAAAATTAATAAATATGAATGTTTTTTTGACACTTGTTATACTTTTATTTATTTTGATACATGTTATTTTGTCGTTATTTTGAATTAATTTTTATTTCATATGTAATTTTGTGGTTTTTTTCCTATTTTATTAAATTCCATATGGTATTTAAATTTAATAATAAATGTATATCAATTTCATTAATGTATTTTTCTTATAATTTCAAAATTTTAAAATAAAATGTGATTAATTTGCTTTGATTATTTGATCTAAATGATTTGTTTAAATTTAAAAGAGAAAAAAAAACATTTTAATTTTAGTAATTCAATATTTTTCTCATTTTTCTTATAAATTTAAAATTTTCAAATGTTTATACATATTTAATTATTTTAAATACACATATGTAATACATGAGGCTCAGTCCTAGTTACATACAAAACTTATTTTAAATTTATACAATTAGAATATAATTATAAAAAACATTGTAATTGATTTGATTTTTTATATATATTGAAATGACTACCAATTTTTTTTTTTTTAAAAGAAACTTAGAATCCCACATAATATATTAAAATTTTAATTTGAAATGTTTTTATTGTATGTTTTTCAACTAAATAATATATATTTTATGCCTTGTATTTTAATCTAATCTTAGTTTCATTAATTATTGTTAGATTTTATTAAAAATAAGATAATTTGTTAAAATTTAGATTTACTTATCGGTTTCAAATATATTTTTGAAATTTCTTAATACGCTTTTATCTTGTTTGTATTGGGAATCCAAAATATTAAATCCATAATCTGAAATGTTAATCTAATAGTTTTTTTTTTCTTGTAAAAAATATATTTTAAGTATGATATAAAATTAATGTAAAACAAATGAGTTGACTCCAAAATAACTATTTTAAAGATGATGATTATTTCGGTAAATATAAATGAAAAGGTTGAGTCAATTACAATAATATTTTACATAATCATGTGATATTCTTTTAATCATCTCAATTTATAATTAATGTTCAAAGAGTCGAAATTTATATATAATTAACTTGTACCTAAGATTCTTTAAATGTGTTTTAATATTATATATCATATAATGAAAATTAATGATTGATTCATCCACAATTTGCCCAATAAAAATAATTATATATCATTAAGTGCATGAAATAATTTTGAGAGGTATAACACTATAACTACAAGTTCCTAATATATCGTTTTTTTTTTCAACGGCAAACTATCTAAAACTTATTCTTAAATAACACGATGTTTAATAAGAAACTTGAACCCATGACCTTTCATTTGAAAGAATCACTCCTTACCGTTAGATCAAATACCTTTTGATAATATATTGTTCTTTCTGGTAAAATGTTTCATGTAATCATATTTTATTTAATATTTATCAATTTATATAACAAAATAATTTTTAATATAAATTATACAGGTACATATTTTAAAATATATATTAACTGATAGAGAAACATACTTCGCATTTACTTTGACACTTCCTTTTTACATAAACAATAGGAAACGACATTTATTGTATTGTATACGAAATTATTATTATTAATGTTTGTACGAAAAATTAACAATGATTTTACAACCAATAAATAATTGTCCTATTTATGTTAAAAATAACCCAACATTTAAATTCTACATTTTCCTTTAGGCTGTCAGATGGTATCTTTTAAAATGAATAATGTTAACTCATATACATTTTAAATCTACTTATTAGACATTTATCTCAACCAAGGTTTGAATATTCGATTATTAATCTAATTGATTAATAGACATATTTTTCAAAACTCCGGTTATCTTCATGGTAGATGCCATGAAGATAAATTAAACGATTAAACGAACTGTTTTTCCCCAACACGTAGAATCTCTTTAACTATTGATACATTCCCCCTACAAACTGTGGAGTGTGCACATGTTTTCATATTAATAAATTGGGTCAAATACAAAAAAGGTATAATATTGTTACACCATTAATATATTTAACAGAATATTCACCTATTATAACAAAGTTAAGAAAAACACACACATACGTATATAGACCACATTGACATGTGATTATAATACGCCTCTTTGACAAGTGATTGCCAAAATATAAATTTTCATTTTTCTAAACGACAACTCTTAATACCATTTATGTTTCAAGTGAGATTTAAGCTCTCAGTCCCACGGAAAAGGACACACATGTATACAAAATAAGCAAACAAATATACATGCACATGAACATATGCATGTGCATATAGGTTTTTTTTTTTTTTTTTTAAATTGTTTGTATAATGATTTATGGTTTATATAATTGGAAAATGCAACATTTTAAATATATAAATTGTTGTGTGTGAAGAAATAACTCTTAGGTACAAATAGGTTCTTTTTTTAGAACACCATTACATATGAATAAAAAATATTAGGACGGTAGACATAAAATATTGTTATTTTGTGAGTTATTATTATTTTATATTGAATAAGTTTCATGTAAAAATAACATTTTCATTTTTTGAAGTACAATTACTCATTTCGAGTTCCTATTTTACACTGATTTAGTTGGTAAACGGGAAACAAATTGCGTTATTAATCTTTTTTCAATAGATAAACTATTTTTTTTTTTTAAATCGCATTCATAAATTTTGGAGTCATAACATTTATGCATCACTTGTTTGACTCTATTAAGGTGCTTCACAACATCTGACGCAAAGAAACTAAAATCATCAAACACGAAATGTATAAACGTATGTTGATTTTCCATACACGTTTTTTTTTTGTCAATTTGCATGAGACAACTTTTAAAAGAGTCTGTCATACGGTGAATACCCCACTATCCAAACTCACGAGAGAGGAAACAACTGTTAGACCCCTCCTACCCATGTAAAAACTAAAACGTCAATTGGTCTAAGTGTGAACTTTTCTTTTATCGTGTCAATCAAGAAGTTCACAAATGTCTTTTTCTTGGCAAAAAACCAAGTGCTTTGTTTCTCATTTTATATATATATATATATATATATATATATATATATATATATATATATATATATATATATATATATATATATATTCAAAATCAATGTTTAATACTATCTATTATAGATTTGTAATCAAATAATACCATGTGACCTATCTAATACAAATCAATTATTTATTTTCTAAGGTCCATATTTATTTATTAAACTATAGCATATACTCTCACCAAATGATTTTAAAAATATGGCATTAAATAAAACAATTTTTATCAAAATTGTATTTTAGAAATATATGCTATTGACATATTTCTATCTTAAAATTTAGAATCTGTATCAGATATAACGCTCTTCATCTAACAGTTCAACATTGTTTTTGATAAAAAATTTGCATTTAGAATACTTGTTCAATTTTGAGATTCCTATGCTTTTACTTTGTGATCTTATTATATATTATATTTATATTAATTTTGAAATTCTTAATAAGTTTGACTATAATTAAAACAAATTACTAATAATTTAAGTTTGATTGGAATAGTATAATCAGAACGGTTCAACTAATTTGGAGACTCTAAGCAAACAAAAAGAATTATACCCTTAATTTTATAAATCAATGCTTTTACCACTAGATCAAACTCCATCTTATCTTTGTAACTCAAAAAATGCATATATATATATATATATATATATATATATATATATATATATATATATATATATATATAAAATTAACATAATAAACTTTAAAAACACTTTAAAATTGAAGCTTTAATCACTTGTTTAGTTTTGCAAACGGTGGAATCCCTAAGTATTATAATATAATTTGTTAGATAAATTTGAATTTATGAAATGTGTAGTGTGATTACTAAAGTTAATAATAAAATATTCTTAAAAATCTATATAATGGAAATAATATGATATAATAAAATATAACTATTTTCATAATTTTTATTTTATCTAAATAATATTAAAAAATATATAAAATACTCCGACTTGGTTTATCTGGTTTCGCCAAAACATATTTTAAAACATAATTCAAGAACGAAAAATAAATCCTGAAAAAGTTCCCCTCCTTTTTCTCATTGCTCTCTGATTCTTTCTTCCTGTCGACCATTTTCTTGGACTGAAACTGATTGAGTCAAAATTTCCATTGATGTCAGAGCCATTAGAACACAATTACATAGGCTTATCAGACTCTTCTTCCATGGAAAGAATCTCTGAATCCTCCAATTTCTCAACGGAAACTGAAAAGAACAACGCTTTTAACCTCAAAGCCACCGAGCTCCGACTTGGCTTGCCTGGTTTCACCAAAGATATCAAGGAAGACGACAGAAAAATTGTATCTACTAAGAACTTTTTTCCAGGTGGTAAGCGAGGGTTTTCTGATGTTGATGCCGACGATTGTAGAAATTGGGGGTTTAATGGCGGATGTGACGCTGATTCGAACAAGGTTTCATCTTCTTCTGCTTTGTTCTCCTCTAAAAATGTGAAGAACACTGGTTTGGAGATAAATCAGCCTGCAATTTTATCTTCTGTCATGAATCAAATCGAAGAGAAGAAGAAAGCTCCATTTACTACTGAAAATGGAAGTGCTCCTCCCATTGCTAAGTAATTTTAATTTGTATTATTGGTCTTTATACGAATCAACTTTAAATCGCCATAAATTTTCCTTGTGTTATGTAATAGGGCACAAGTGGTTGGATGGCCACCTATTCGATCATTTCGGAAGAACACCATGGCCACCAACTTACCAAAAAACGACAGCGTTGCTGAGAATTTAGGCACCGGAGGCTGCCTTTATGTAAAGGTTAGCATGGATGGAGCTCCATACTTACGAAAAGTTGATCTCAAAACCCATTGCAACTATGCAGATCTTTCGAAGGCTCTCGAGAGATTGTTCACCTGCTTCACTCTTGGTATATCTCTCTATTCTCTCCTTTTCTTCTACATAAAAAAAAACTTCTGACTTTATTGATGAAACCATTACAAATTCATCTCTAGATTTTACATAGTTCAACAATATATAAGAATTTGTTTCATCAATTTGTGTATTAGGCAAATGTGCTTCTAATGGGGTTCGAGAAGGTTTAAGTGAAAGTAATTTAAAGGAACTCCTACATGGCTCTGAATGTGTGCTAACATACGAAGACAAAGATGGTGATTGGATGCTTGTTGGTGATGTTCCTTGGGAGTAAGTGAAAGTCTTTCTCAATCTTTAAAATTTGATTCTGTTTTCCAGTCTTAAGTCTCTATCTAATGTTTTTCTTCCTCTATTTGCAGGATGTTCATAGACTCTTGCAAGAGATTAAGGATCATGAAAGGCTCCGAAGCAACTGGATTAGGTATGCAAATTTCACTTACTCATAATAGCAACATACTTTCATTCTTACCCATTATAGCAATGTACTTATATTTACCAATAAGGTAACAAATAAAGTACATTGCCCATATACGTAAAGTGATTTAAGTATAGATAAATAAGTACATTGCTATTATTCATGAATGGTCCAATTTTTTAAAGTTGTCTTGAATTTGTTGTGTAGCCCCAAGACCCATGAGCAGTGGAAGGACATAAATCTGAACCCGATAGCAATAGGAGCTTTTATATTATTTATTTGTAGTGTTAGTAATTCCATGAGAATGGAAAAAAAAAAAAAAAAAAAAAAAAAGTCACAACTAGAAGAGGTGCTTCCAATAAGTTTGGTTCCCTTGTTGTGTGCTTAGTATGTACTTACATTAATTAATGTAAATGGCTTGTTAATTTCCTGTTGTTGATTGTTGCCCTTTTTTGCTACTTTTGGAACCCGTGAATGAAGACGTAATAAATTACACGAACTTGGTTTTAGGTAGGAAAATTTTGATGATTGGATTCATGCTGTTTTGAGGCTTGTTAAATGACCTGAAATAATCCTAACACTTTGATTTTTTTGTGGAGATGATAATAATGTTTTGGTAAAAGTGGATACATCCCTTGGCCCCTTGGTAAATTTATTGAATAAAAAACTGTACGAGCAAGAAGCAAATCTAAAGACTACATTGGCAAGAAAAGCCCACAACTTGTGGCTTCAATTTTAGTCTTCAAAATCTCGTGCCCAACAACCAATTATATAATATTTTTATATTGAGAGAAATCTTTATATTAATATTTATCTTTCAAACAAAATCGAATTGGTGGATTTTTAAGAGAAATGATTGGCTAAAATATGATGTTGACAAACATTTTTTGTTTTTTTTTTTTTTTTAATATGGCATGGATATTAAATGGGTTGAAATCCATCATCTAAGGAGAAAAAAAACATATGCAGGGTTTCATAAATAGAACACGATTAAGCAAAATGAAGGAAAATAGATTTGGATTCGATATGTCATGCATATTCGAGTAATGAAAAGGGTATGTATATCAAGTCAGATTTTTAGTTGGTCATTTCTTCTAAAAACCTTCGATTTTGTTTTATCTGAAAGAGAAATAATAATATAAATGTTTTCTGAAGAAAAGTAATATAAAGATCTGTTAAATATATTTGGTTGTGATTTTATGTATTTTATCTAATAATAAAATAAATATCAGTCTTTATCTTTTCCATAATGAGACCATCATGATTATAACAAGCAAATCAGCCCAAATCTCGCTGCAGCCCATCAATCTTCCAAAATCACATTAGTGTTTCAAAAATCTTCCAGGTCGTCCAAAAAACATGCAACCCTTCGGAAAATTAGGCACCTCTAAAAAATTTAAAAAGTCTCAATCAGGGATGGGCAAAAGGACTGAACTGGACCCGATCCGGGAACGGCTTCGGTCAAAATCAAGAACCGAACCGGCCCGACAGTTCTACCAGTTCCCGGTTCCTATCGGTTTTTGTCGTGTCTTCAAATGTTGGAACCGGACCTCGAAAAATAGCATTATACGGTTCCAACTTTTACCGGTTCTACGGGTTTTTGCCAGTTCTACCGGTTCCGGTTCCTATCGGTTCCCGGTTCTAAAAATCCACAAAAATAACATCCCGGTCCCGGCCCCACCGGTTCCATCAGGTTCCGGTACCGGTTCCGATCGGTTCCCCGGTACATATGCTCATCCCTAATCTCGATAATCTTCCTAATCTTCCATACAATACACAAAAATATTACAAAACCTTTTCCATTACCAATTATCATTCACAACAAAAAAATCTTTCCTTTAAACCAACTTTCAATTAAACATACAATACACATAAGTATTACAAAACCTTTTCCATTACCAATAATCATTCGCTTCTCTTTCATTTTTCAATGAAACACACATACTCAATGACCCGTGTTCAATTCCTAACACTACTCAGCCTCTGTGATCATAGACGTTCGTGATTCCAGGGCTTGAGACATAGATAGTCTAATATTTGCAGCAAAGGATTAGTCATGGCTAAACCATCTCCCATAATTTGTAGTGCCCTATTTTGTGAGATCTAGTGGTTAATCTCTCTCTCTCTTTCTCTCTCTCTCTCTCTCTCTCTCTCTCTCTCTCTCTCTCTCTCTCTCTCTCTCTCGTTAAAAGGTTTAAACGTACGTATTTCCTTGAAAGAAATATGTGTGAAAAGTTAACGAGGGAAGGGTTGTGGCATGAAACGGTGAAACGAGAGTATAGGCGTGTTTGGCATGGAGCTTTTGGAAGCGTTTGGGAGCTTCCAGTTTTTACCTTTTAACAAAACGCTCTAGTTTAAACAAAAAATTTTGTTTGGCTGTACAAGCGTTTAGGGTGCGTTTAGTTGTGGAAAAATTGGCCGTTTTCCGGAAAAAATTTCCAAGAAAAATAAGAATTTTGAAAACGCGTTTAGTTCGTCTATTTTTCTAAATTTTTCACGGAAAATGAAAATTTTCCGTTTTCTAAAATTACAAAGAAGTTGGAAAATTTTGGAAAACTGATAATCATTGTTTTCCACATTTTTCTAATTCTAAAATTTTTCTATAAACACACACACACACTCCACCCCATCCACCTCTACCTACCCCCCCCCCCACACACACACACACCCACCTGCACATACACACACACACCCATCCGCACACACACACACACACACCAACCCACAAACACACGCACATACATACCCACTCACACACCAACCCACACACACACATACATACCCAACCACACACACCCACCCACAAACACACATACATACATACCCCCCCCCCCCCCCACACACACACACACCCCAACCCACGCACACACACACACACCCGCACACACACACACCAACCCCCCCACACACACATACGTACCCACCCACCTACCCACACATACATATCCACCCCACACACACACACCCACCCGCACACACACACCAACCTCCCCCCCCCCCCCCACACACACACACCCACCCACCCACAAACACACACACATACACATACATACCCATCCTCACACACACACACCCACAAACACACACACCCCCACACACACACCCCCACACACCCACCCTCACACACACACATACCAACCCACAAACACACACACACATACATACTCACCCATACACACACACACACCAACCCACACACACCCACACACACACACCCACACACACCAACCCTCACACACACACATACCAACCCACAAACACACACACATACATACCCACCCATACACACACACACACCAACCCACACACACACACATACATATCCACCCACAAACACACACACACACACATACATACATACCCCCACAAACACACACTCGCACCCCCAACCACCTAACACCATCACGACAATCACTGACCTACCATCACCACCACCACCACCACTAACCCGTCACTAGCACCACCACCACCGCTGCCGCCTATCATCACCACCACTGACACAAATTGTCGCCGCCACCACCATCGCCTGTCATCACCACCACCGCCGCCGACCCACTACCGTCACTGCCCCCGCCCACACCTTATCACCGCTACCATTTTTTAAAAATGAAAACCGATAGAAAAATACACATCTAAACACGTTTTCTAATTTTCTAAAACTGAAAATGAAAAATGAATAAGTTTAACTAAACACGTTTTCTAAATTTTTCAATGAAAAATGAAAACGGAAAACGAAAATCGAAAAGGGAAAACAAAAAACGGAAAATGAAAACTGTTTTTCCGTAACTAAACGCAACCTTAGCTTTTAGTTTTAACAAAACGCTCCGATTCTAAAAGCTACTTCATATAGCGTTTAACAAAACGTTCATGAGCTTTTGAAATCAATTTCCATAATTACCCTTAAAAATATATTTATATATTTATTTATTTTTAATCAATTGTCATTTTATGTAATTTTATATATTTCAAAAGCTTACAGCTACTTTTGCCAAACATTCATATAACAAATAAAAACTATATCTTCCCGCTACCAGCTACCTGCTACACACTACCCGCTACCAGCTTACCGCTACCCGTTTCCAGTTAACAACTTCTTTTGCCAAACATGCCCTATGCCTTATGACCTCAGTAAGTATGTTAAAGGGCAAAAATAAACCATGAGGTAATGAAGAAACACGTGTGACCGGGCTTAGAACCACACATATTCGAAATCAAACTAAAATTAAAGACACTTTTTATGAAAATTGTAATAAAACCAAGTTTTGAGATGATATCTCCCCTACTTAGCTTTAGGTGTTACCTAAATTAGGAAAACTGGTTTGGCAAGGAAAAATGTAATAAAACCGTATATATAGTTGGGAACACTCATGTGACTGAGATTAAAACCGTAAATATTTAGGATAAAATCAAATTGCAAAATACATTTTAGGAAAAAAGTAACAGGACTAAGTTTTGAGATGATATTTTTGTGTTGTCAAACCAACAAATAAAAAGGGTTGTGAAAATTTATTCCTAGTTATACCAAAGGGTAATATAGTTGAAGCAAAAGATCTAATCCACATGGACACATAACTATTGTGATGTACCTCTTTGCACAATGTATAAAGTTTAGTCTTAACACATAAATAAATGATAGTTACAATAAAAGACGTAATTTTTTTAATTAACTAAAAAAAGCTAAAGTAGACTAAAACTAGGATTGAGACAACTCCGATTCAACTATATGCAATTGATTATGAATTATCGTCTTTTAACCTAAGTTACTATAATATTAACAAGCTTTAATATCACATTTACATGTCAAATTATTTAAGAGATACCACCACTTTCATTTTCTCTCTCGCTTGTATATATTCATAATTTTCAAAAAAACATATATAAAAATATATAACTTGAGAATTATTGTAAGTTTGTAACAACTAAAATACAAATTGATGATATGAGGAGCATAAGATGAGTAGATTTACAGCTAAGTGTAACCAATAAAAAATCATATCAAACTACAAAAACAGATCGCAACACGTGAATTAAGAGTGTCATCAAGAAACAACATAACTAAAATAAATCCACCCAAAAGAAAAGCAGAAAACTATGATTTTTTGGGGGATATCTGAACATACACCATTTGAGTATACCCATTAAATACAGAAGTCTCAAGTCTTGATAACCCAAGCCTTTGAAACAACCCAAATCTTCCATCTTCAACAATGGGACTCGGTGCACGAGCTGGATCATATCTGGTTTGATGAGTCAGCGAGGGACCCGCTACAGGTGGAAGCTCCCAATAAACATCAAGTATTGATTCAACAAATCTGCTGTTTTGAAAATGTTGTGTGTATGATATTGGCTTATTGCTGTGATTAAAATCATCCCTCATGTATCCTCTGACTCCCCACCATACTTCCCCTGGTCCGCATAGTTCCTTAGTATCCACTGCCTTTTCCCAAAACTTCTTTCTTCTTGTTCTTGCTCTACCTTCATCACCATCTTCAAAGCAACTATGTCCACCTCCTG